ATCATTGTGCGCACTTTTTTTTTTTTTTTTTAATGACAGATGCAGATTTCTGCAAGCTGAGAATCCTGAAAGTCTTGCATTCACACCTGATAATGAAGACAGTAAACTTTACTAACACGCTTTTGTTTTTAACTAGTTGTGAGTTAACCTGCCCTTAAATATTTTTATGAACGCAGAATTTTGCTGATTCTCTCTAAAAACAAGACAGACTATTTCTAGAAGTCATAAAATAGCTCAAAATGCTAGAAATTTCCAAATGCTTCCATTGTAGTTCAAATACACTCCAAATTCCCCTACCCTCTGCCAATATCAATAAGCAAAAAACTTTGTCTAGCAGGGGGCAAGGTTGGAAGTTGGAGAACAAATGCTTCAGGCAAATAGCCTGTTAGTTAACACTAAAGACAGAGGTTAGCACAGTATCAGGCAGGATCTCAGGGGAAGTATGGCACCCTGGAGTGTAAGACTTTTTAAGGCCTCATTTTGCATACAATAACTGTGTATTTAACATAAATGTGACTGAAATTGTAATGTAAGTACAAAATGTGCGATGTTTTATTCATGGGGGAAAAATAATTGTAGAAAAGATAAGCTAAAGTTAGGTGCTTGTATCTTTCTAAATAAAAGTGGCCTGATTTTTTTTTTTTTTTTAAAGGTCCTGACCATCCACTGTCTTAATGGCTACACAGGAGCATTAAAAATCATGTAAATGTCAGGTCATTTTGATGTAGGCACCTAAATATGGACTCCATATGATGAGTGGTTCTTTTTCTGTTGGATCTACCTGGCTTTTTTCACACGTCAGGACTTAGTTTGAAATTTGAAATTCCTCAGTGCAGGGTATGGTCTTTCCATATGTTTGTGCTGTTTCTGCAGATTGGAACTTCCAAAACAGATGGCTTAAAGATTCTGAAGAATCAGACTTGGACACCCTCTCTTAAAAAGTCTATGAAACACATTATTTAATTATTGTAGTGGAGATGACGGTTGAGCGTGGAAGAAGACTCGGGGGAGTAGAGTCCAGCCTTCTCTTGCTCCTCCCTCCTCCCACGCTGATTACCTTATGTGCTCTTTTACTTATTCTTTTAAAGAGTTTCTGATTTTTTTGCTCCTTCTGATTATTTTTTAGTATAAAAGCTAGGGTCTCCTTTTTCCTTTTCTGTGTTAAATACTAGGTTATATTTGTCAACATTGATTTTACATTCTGAGTTCAGATGATTAGTGAAATACAAACAATAATGTATTTTATTTTGAAGCAGCATTTCTTATCAAAATAATTTTTTTGAGGAATAAAGATGCATTACACATACTTCTGGGATCTTGGCTGATTTTTAATTTATTGAAAATGGAAAGAGGACACGTAGGAAAGCTGTCCCTCCTTGCCTGCTCCCATGGGCAATGAAAATAATTGATGCTTGTCATGCTCAGCTTGGTGCTTTCCTCTTATAAGAAGATCTTGGAACTGCTAATTTCTTACTTCCAGTGGTGTAAATAGAAGCTATTGAGATATCTCTTTTTCTGATCTTGGGAAGAACTAAAATCTCCTTGTATTTATAAACTAGACAGGAAAGAAGAAGATTTGAGCACTACTGAGGCAACTTTTTCTAACTGTCTACTAATAGGTGTAGTCAAGGGAAGTTAAATAGCTTGCTTTAGAACAAAGCTTGAGAGTGTATGGTAATGAAAACTGTAATGACAACTTGTTCTCAATTAGCAACTCTTTTGTTGTGTGCTACTTCTTAGACAAATTTTCAGGAGAAAAAATGGAAGAGAGTGGGGATGACTGGCCAGCCCAATGCATGATGATAACAGCTAATAAGAATAAAGAAATGGTCACTCAAGCTTCCTCATCTCTATAGGAGGTCAGCATAACTGCATCTTTAGCATAATCCAGCCACCCTTTAATTCTTGGAGCATCCTCTGCTTCTGGGAAGAAAAGTATTTATTGCAACGTATTTCCAAGGAAAAATGGGATTTTGAATTTATCCTTTTTCATGTGATCCACTCCCCTTGGAACAAATACATTCCCAGCAAATCCTGCAAGAGGCTTTCCTTCAAACACAACAGAAATTTATACCATCACATTAAAGTCATTAAACTAAAGCTGTAACAGAAGTTGAGAAGGGTCTGTTAGGCGATTGCCTGTCTGTTGTCTCTTGCTGTATTTGAATCCTTTTTGCAAGGAAGAGGAAAAAGGCACAGCATTTGTGTTTTATAAGGTAGTGCGTCACAGCTGGGAGCTGGGGTGATCCGTTGTCCTACACTTGCACAGCATTTATTTCCCTATACTGAGAAAGCTGAGTGAGAATACTGACAGAGAATATAAACTCTGCATTTTTTTCCTGTTGCTTTTTCGTTGTGTTGTTTTGTTTTGTTTTGTTTTAGCTGTGCTTCTGTAGTCCAAGGCCACCTCCAAGGCTTCCCACTCCCTGAGTTGAATGGCCGCAGGCAGCTCATTATCATGACTTGTGTTGCTTTCTTCAGCATTTTAAAAAGTCTTTTTCTATTTCTTCAGCAATAAGAGTGTAGTCATCTGCACTGCTACTTGTAAACCTTTTAAAGAGAATTTCTGTAAAAATCGTCCATCAAGGGCCTCAGCATGGGCTGTACGTGCCCTTGCTGTAAAATAAGCACACTACCTAACCCAATGAGTACCTGGAGAAAACTGTAGTTGCTAGTATGTGCTGGCAGGGTCCCTAGCCAGGACACTGGTGTGGATTCTCACCCTGGCTTTATTGCAAGAATATTGAGAAATAGAATATATTGGTTGGAAGGGACCTACAATGATCATCTAGTCCAATACTAGGAAAGTCACTTTAAGGCCTTCCTTTCGCCTTCTGTACTGTCTCCTTTCTGGCTCTTCAGCCTGTAAAATCTTTTAGATTCAGCCTGACACAGACTTACTGGAGAGGCTAATGAAGCTGTCCCTGACCTTCAGTGCTGCCCAGAATAGGACTTGTTTTAAGGTGATGGGATGCTGTTTTGTCTGCTCACCTGTATAGCCCTCCGTCCCATTCACAGTGCGCCCTGCCAGACACCTCCTTGAATTTCGTCTTTGAATCCTTGTAAATACTGCAGGAATTTAAATAATTCATGGCAGTTTATCCTGAACTGCAGAACATCATTTCTGTGTGACTGGAGTAGGAGTTTGAGTAAGTTGGGTGTATGGAACAAGACCCTACTGCAAGCAGGCTGCGTTGCTACCAGTCTCATTTGCTTAGCAGTGGGAACGCTACCAAAGCACAGACATCTTATAAAACCACCCATAGCCATCAACCATGGCTGCTTTGGCAGTATTGATTATTCAATTCAATATCGATGTGTTCTTTATGCCTTTTGTATTAAATGTAAGTACTGGGCTGTAGCTTAGGCCTGTGGAAACTTTGGATTGACTTTCTCCAAGGTCTGCCTGTTTCCCCTGGAATGCTCTGCTTTGGGATGGTTAATTCACGAGCAGAGAGAGATTTTCACCACTTTAGAAGCATGATTTTAATGTTTGCCATATACTGGAGATTGGTGTCGTGGCAAGGGTGGCTGAACCTCGTGTGGAACTCTTGAGCTGTCATCATTTATTAGCTGAAATATTAAAGCAAATCGTTGTGGACTTCATGCTGATTTAATATGTTGGGCCAAAGTTTTTAACAGAACTGCTGTATATGTAGTTCTATAGAGAAAAAGCACTTTTTGGAGATGAACAAGGCCGTCTGTGCTTTAATCTCTATGGGAACTATGTTACTATTCCAACACACAGTACCACAGATAAGAGTTGATCATTGTGTCAGGAGCCTCAATATTTTTCACTTTTTGTGTTTTGTCTACTTTTTAAAAGTGAGAAATAGAGGCAATCTAACAGAGTATTGAGTTTCTTGACTGCTGTGAGGAATATGAAATTATTTTCTACTTGTATACAAAAAAAACCCCTTCTGTGTTGACTTTAATGGGATTAGTCACTGTGCAGAGCTTATGAAGACAGAGCACTAGTGATTTGCATCAATTCCATCCAATCCACTGATTCATCTGATTCATTTGATTCATTCTCCTTCACAGAAAGAAAATACAGAAAAAAACACCTAAATGGTCATGCCTTCTTTCAAACAGTCAGTATGCAACAAGACTTCCTCAGCCTCTCCATCTGAAACTAAGAATAAGCAGGTTTAGCTCCACCTCTTCAAGAACTTAATGGATACCCATTCTTCTGGACTCTAAAATGTGCATCAATGTTGAAAAAGAAATTTTTAACTGAAATTTGAAAGTGAAAATGACAAGGATAAGTCATGAGAGTTTATATTGCCTCCTTCCCCCCCGCAACATACGTAATAGAATGAAGATACTTGGAAAAACTACTGAGATAAAACATGATAAAAATTGTCTACTTTGTGATAAGCTTTTTTGCATGTACATCTTCTAGAACATTTTATTTACTTTCCTGGTCCTCATATGATGTATGGTGTTTTGGATTCTTTATGTATGTAAATATATGCCTTTTTTTTACTCATAGTTCCAGTTCTTGCTTGTCAAAATTTGAAGCAGCTCTGTAGCATCTCCTGTTTTTATTGTCTGTAGAATTGTGAGCATCTCAAATTTGTTTGCTGTTCTCTGAGCTAACTCTAACTTTATCAAATCTTTCTACAGTGCTGCAGTCATAGAGTTCTTGAGTTTCATTGTTTATCCTCTGTGGTTTCTTCTTTAGCTTATATAAGAACATACAGTTTCACCGGGTTTATTTACCTCTCCATTACCATTTTTGTAAAGTGAATGAACCAATCTGTCCAGTGTCCTGTGGCAAGGGATGTCCAGTAACCAAATTTCGAAGTGGGATGTGCTTTGCTCGGCTGTTTTTTCCTCAATTACACTATTGCACTACAGATAAATGGCTCTCTTTAGTATTGCGTCCTATGTGTATACGTTCTTGTCTCAGTCATGAAGCTCAGACAGGAACGTATTTGGACTAACTGAATCAAAGATTAAACTTATGGATATTTTAGCTTTTTTATTTATTGCAGGTAATTAAAGTGTATAGTGAAGATGATACTAGCAGAGCTTTGGAAGTACCAAGTGATATAACAGCCAGGGATGTATGTCAGCTGTTGATATTGAAGAACCACTATATTGATGACCACAGCTGGACTCTATTTGAACAACTTACCCACACAGGTTTAGGTAAGACTAATACTATACAATGGTATGGCAGTAAATAAGGTGTTTGGTTTTCGTTTTCACATAGAAGTACAATTGTAATAGAAAGGCTTGGAAGCAAAATGATGGGAGGGCTTGTGTGAATTTATTCTTGTGGGAGTTTGTTGCTTCTGTTTCTCTTTTTTGGAAGCGTAGCTATAGAAGTACATTTTGTCATAGTACATTTGCCTCACACTGCTTGATCTGCATCTGTAAGAATGATTTGGAAGATGCTGACCATTAAGGTTCTCGCTGCAAATTCTTCCTCATTCTTCCTTGCTTTTCTTTGGCAGTTCTTCCTCTTTTACTGGTATTTCCTGCTTATCTCTAGCAAGAGTTGGGTTATTTTCATTGCAAATAAAATTTTTGTTGTTCCCAACACACCTGAGTGAAATCTCTGACATCAGGGACAGAAGGCAGTTACACAGTGCTATTCTATCTGGACAACAGGACTTAAGTCTTCAGAAACAACATCAAAGTAGGCTGTCAGTGTTTTCCTTCAATACAATCAGCTTGGCTAGATTCATTGTGAACTCTGGGACAGCACTACTTAAAAAGCAAAGCAAAACCATTCTTCTAAACTTCTAGTTATGGACCAGTGAACTGTGTTGAAGTGACTTTATGCTCAGTATTTTAAGTTTCTGGAAACGAAACGCTCTGAACTCCTTCCGCATCATCAGTGTTCGTCTAGTGTAGTAAAAAACCTCTTTTTCTATTATACAGTTTAAAAGGTGTAATCTGAGGTTTCAGATTACAACTATAATTTAAACTTCTGGTCTTTGTTCCTTTTTGTAGTGTATAGATGTAATTTTGCAGTATAAAAACACATTAAAAAAATTAAATATAGGGAGCCTCATGGTTTAGCCGCAGTCAACAACCAAGCACCACAAGAGAGTCTGAAGACCAAAAGTAAGAAAACTCGTGGGTTGAGATAAGAACAGTTTAATATTGGAAATAAAATATGATGATGATGATGATGATGATGATGATGATGATGATAATAATAATAATAATAATAATAATAATAATATTGTAATGAAAAGGAAAACAACGAGGGGGAGAGAGAGAGAGCGAAACAAAACCCAGGAAAAACAAGTGATGCAGCCACTCACCACCTGCCGACCAATGCCAAGCCAGTCCCTGAGCAGCAATTGATGCCCCCCCGGCCAACTCCCCCAGTTTATATACTGAGCGTGACGCCATATGGTATGGAACAGCCCTGTGGCCAGTCTGGGTCAGCTGTCCTGGCTGTGCCCCCTCCTGGCTGCTTGTGCACCCGCCAGAGCACGGGAAGCTGAAGAAGTCCTTGACGCTAGTGTAAGCACTACTTAGCAACAACTAAACCATCAGTGTGTTATCAACATTATTCTCATCCTAAATCCAAAACACAGCACTATACCAGCTACTAGGAAGAAAATTAACTCTATCCCAGCCAAAAGCAGGACAGGGAGAAAGGGGATGTTTGCAGAGATGTAAAAAATGCAGAACACAGGAAAGACTTCACTCAGCAAAAGATGAGTTTAGAAGCACACTGCTAGGATGTAGTATTGAACTGATACTCTCGTCAGACAATCTTACTTCTTTTTACAGCACTACATTTCAGTACTGTATTGTGTTTGGTTTTGATAGGGACTTATATCAGAAAAATCCACTAGAAGACAAATGCCATAAAAAAAATCTCATTTTAATTTCATGTCACTCAAAGTTTCCATATTATTCTTGAACTTTGGCACTGTGCTAAATTTACCAAAGGTAGTACTTCTTCTGCAACCTCAAGGGCAGTTCCAGCTGCTAGTGCAAAGTGTGGCTTGAGAAAGAGGACATTTTGGGGGCCTTCCTGCATTAAAATACATAGAAAACTCCTTGGAGTCCTTAATTCTCAGAAGAGACTGCAAGTGGTACCTGGTAATTCCAGTACTGTTGATTTAAAAAAAACCACACCACCAACAAAAAACCAAACACCCCCATACACACACCCCCCATGGATATTTATATATATTTATATGGCTAAAAGCTATTGTTAAACTCCTGTCCTGTGTATGTATCTAGGGAATCTGGACTCATGCATTTGTGTAAAATAAGCTTGACTGTATTATGTTTAACAGCCATATTTTAAAGATGAACTACAAAAGCTAAAACTGTTTTCTGCCCTTTTCTGCTCCTTTATCCTATGAAGGCAGCCACAAACGTTTTTCAATTTTTTTTTCTTGCTTTGTAACATTTCAAAGATATTTATAACCTTTTGCACTGAATGTATCAGTTGTAAGATGCTTCCAGCTCAGAGTAAGGTCAGAGTTAAATCTGGGTCGAGGCTGTAAATGACTGACTGCTACAGAAGAGGAGGTATAAAAATGGCTTTAGACAACACTACTATATAAATAGTAGAAGTGTTTTCTGTATTTTATAGTGTGGCTGGTGTTTAAGTAGTGTAGTAACTATTGAAGAAGACACTTTTGACAAACCATGCCAGAACAATAGTGGCATTGTTTCTCCAGGTTTATTTATTTGCGTGATACATTTTTTGTCAAATAGTGCTTCAGTCTGAAGGATTTCTTGAAAGATTTCAATGTCAAATCATTAGTGAAATTGCTTTTCCTAAGATTCTGAAATTCTCAAAATTGCTGGCGTGCAGGTCTGAAGACCTGCATTCACCATACAGTCTTCTGATTGCTCCAGCTGCTTTGGGCAGAGTTTTAGAAAAAGGTGAATTGTTCATTTTTAAAATAAAATTATTTCCTAGATGACGAGGATGGCAATTCAACATTACTAGCCAAGGAGAGGAACAACTTGAGAGGCCTTTTTTTTTTTTTTTTTTTTTTTAATAATACTGAATAGTAATGGATTTATTTTTATGATACTGTTAGATCTGGTTTTGTTTGAAAGGTTTAACATACTGATCTTGACTTGCATTAAGTATATTCTTAAGCACTGGATGAGTAGCATGAACAAATATTTTTCAAATGATTATTTAGTTTTGTACTGTTTGCTATTTCTTATTCTGTTGTATGTTTTACCTAAGGAAATCTGGACAGTCTTTTTCTGCTTCCAAGTTAAATGAATGGTTACAGAAAGGAGAAGTACTGTAAGTGAGTGTGTGTCTGTGTAAATTCCAGTATGATGGGGATTAATAATTAATTCATCAATTAGTGAACATTTTCTTTAATACCTAACAGCTGTCTGAATATTCCTGAATTAGATATGATTGCATGAATCTTAGTGAGCTGAGCACAGTGTTCTCCTTTTATTCAAGACCACAAGTGGTGTTCCCCAGGGCTCAGTACTAGGGCCAGTCCTCTTCAGTATCTTTATCGATGATCTGGATGAGGGGATCAAGTGCACCCTCAGTAAGTTTGCAGATGACACTAAGTTGGGCAGGAGTGTTGACCTGCTGGAGGGTAGGAAGGCCCTGCAGAGGGACCTGGACAGGCTGGATCAATGGGCCGAGGCCAACTGTATGAGGTTCAACAAGGCTCAGTGCCGGGTCCTGCACTTGAGTCACAACAACCCCATGCAACGCTACAGGCTTGGGGTAGAGTGACTGGAGAGCTGCCTGGCAGAAAAGGACCTGGGGGTGTTGGTCAACAGCTGCCTGAACATGAGCCAGCAGTGTGCTCAGGTGGCCAAGAGGGCCAACAGCATCCTGGCTTGTATCAGGAATAGTGTGGCCAGCAGGACCAGGGAGGTGATAGTGCCCCTGTACTCGGCACTGGTGAGGCCGCACCTCGAGCACTGTGTTCAGTTTTGGGCCCCTCCCTACAAGAAGGACATTGAGGTGCTGGAGCGTGTCCAAAGAAGGGCAACAAAGCTGGTGAAGGGTCTAGAGCACAAGTCTTATGAGGAGCGGCTGAGGGAGCTGGGGTTGTTTAGCCTGGAGAAGAGGAGGCTGAGGGGAGACCTTACCGCTCTCTACAACTACCTGAAAAGAGGTTGTAGCAAGGTGGGGGTCAGCCTCTTCTCCCAAGTAACAAGCAATAGGACAAGAGGAAATGGCCTCAAGCTGCGCCAGGAGAGGTTTAGATTGGATATTAGGAAAAGCTTCTTCCCTGAAAAGGTAATTTAAAAGATGTGTAGATGTGGTTCTTAGGGACGCGGTTTAGTGGTGGACTTGGCAGTGATAGGTTAATGGTTGGACTCAATGATCTTAAGGGTCTTTTCCAACCTAAAGGATTCTATGATTCTAGGACAGATGTTAATTACAGCACTGGAGTGTGCCTTCATTGCTGTGTGGAGGTATCTGCATGTGAAGGTTAAAAAAGAAAAAAAAATCCCACCCAAAAGAAAGCATAGAACGAGGATTGTATATTTCTGTTTTCACAAACCTGTATGACCTTTAGCATGGAACTATATTGTTGAACATTAAGCATGGTCGTGTCCTCACTGCATTGCATGGCAAGTGCTGACCAGGTGGTGTTGACTCGGGGTGAGTGGGCAGGTGAGATGGTTCCTCCACCCGTGCCACTTCCCGGTGGGTGCACCCCATCTGCCTCCTTTGGGGCACCCATGCTGCGCACAGCCCGTTGCCATAGCCTCACCACCCGGATGCTCAGCCTTCCTACCTACCTCCAAAGTTTTGCAGTAGCCTGGGCTCTATTTCAAATATCGGAAGTACGATGATTATTACAGCACTATAAATTGCAATATATTTCAGAACTGTGTGCTTCTGGTATGTGTCCTTTTTGTCCCAAGCTATTGAATTCAAAGAAATTCTTGGATGTTTTTCACCTTGTCTAAGATTATTGAAGGCAGCTGAGGTATGCCGAGATTTGAATGATGCCATATCATCCCTACCACCAGGTACCTTAGTGTTGGAGTCCCATACTTCCACTGCAATTCCCCTGTACAGGGCAGGCTGTGAAAACAGATCAGTTTTCTGTAGGTGTTCTCCTTTTCAAGGAAAACACTGTCTTCATCCTGAAATTTTTCATTTTCTAGTGAGAAATCTTTGTGTTGGCTGTAAACAGTTCTTCATTTGCTTCTACAGCTCAATAGACGTGCTCTAGGGCTCCTCATTTTGATTTCACTATCTGCATTCTTTTAGGTAGCCTGCGGGAAGGCTCACAAAGCACTGTCTGTGCAGTAGTATGGGGCAATGGCTTCTCTGTTTTTTATTTAGTTTAAATTTTTTTCCCACTCTGGGTGGCAAGAGAGGAGGCTATTTGAAATGTTTTCTGTCATGCACTTCAGTATTAGATCTTCTTTCATGTGCTTTAGTTACTTCCCATAGTTCAGGAGACTGTTTTGGACTGTAGCAGGTGCTCCTCACATTAGAGATAGTAATAGTAGTGAGAGGGTAGAGAGAAAGGTAGAAACTCTCCAGTCTAGCTGGAAGAGAAAAAATGATCTAACTAAACCCAAGTGCAGCTTTTTCATGGCAACATTTAGGGATTTGATTACAGGGCTGTGTTTTGGAGGGCACTAACTCAGTGTTTCTGTTCCTTCAAGAAAGTTGAATCAATTGTAAAATACTCCGTGTTGTGACGCCTTAAAAGTAAAGAATTAACAGCATCCTTATCCATCCACTGGGGTGATGCAGAATGTCTTATTTTTGTACCAAGAAGTAAGTCTTGAGGAAATGGTATTTTCTTAAATGTCACAATGCCAAGCATTTAAGTTTTAAATGTCATCCCAGAGGAGCATTTTCTCTCTATAAAATTGAAAGGAAAAAGAAATGCTGGTTTTGAGTAAGAGCTTCAGTTCTTTAGTGTCTCTTTACTCCTGCATCTGAAGAATGTGTTTTGGAGTAAAGCAGCCTGTACAAGATTTTAAAATGATCACTTTTCTTTCAGTATTTTTGGGGTATTTTTTGTTTTCTGAATTGCTTTATGTTTTTATTTGCTTCACTTGATCTGGTTACAAAATGTGAGTTTCATGTGGCATCCGTAATCTCTGATTTATAAGCTCAAGAATGAGCTAAATTTAACGAAGAATGAGATAAATTCAATGGAAGTTTAACTTTTCCCTACTTGATCTGTAGATCATGAGAGTGCTTTGTCTTCTGCTAGTTGTGAGCTTGATATTTTCTTACTGGGGTGAAATTTAGCTGTATGAGTGTGTTGTCTCTAAATTTGCTAGCTGGAAACTTCCAGAAGCAGCTTATAGATTTGCAGGCTACAATAAGGCTCTTACCCACCAGATTGGACAGTGCAGAAGCATGAAGCAGTGACTGGCGAAAGAGGTGGCAAGAGAAGATCAATAAAAAGATGCTGTAGTTCTAAAGAGGCTTTAATGATTTCAAATTTGAGGTTTGATTTTTATCTCTTAGAATGTTGTGCATGCTACACTTTATGAAAGTTAGGCTCTTTGTTTAGCCAGGACCACTTTAAAGGATTTACCATTTATATTAATTTCATGTTATGCCTAATTAAGTTTTTTTAAAAAATCTATACTATTCTTTAATCTGTTATGATTTTTTATAAAGTTTCTAACAACAGGCAGTTATATGAGAGCATCAACATTAATTTAAAGTTTATCATAAGTTCCCGTGTGATAATGCAAGGAAGTGTAGAAAATGTGATCTGAAAATCGTGAGTTACATGGTTTTTATAATATATTTTTAATTGCCTTTTCCCTTTGAAACCATGATCAGAATTAGATATTAAAACCCTGTAATTGGCAGGGAGACATAAGTTTAGATCTCAAACCTATTCTTAACCTGTAACTCATTGTTGGAGTGTAATTTAAATTTGGAGGTGCTAATGATCATTTAAATGAAATCTACAACTTTGTTCAACTCCGTCTTGTTCTCATTAGTTTCAGTCCACAACAAAGTACAAGTGGCCACAAAAACTGTATACTCATTTGAAAGTATGTTCATCCTTTTTTTGTAACATGATTTCATAAGCTGCTGAAGTTTATTAAAAAAAAAAAAAAGTCAGTAGAAGTGATATTGTACAGAAATTATCCATAGTCTTTCAGGATTTATGCTTAACTTCCTGTGCTATGAGTAGTCCCATTGCATTACTCAGAGTATGCAATATGTAAACATACACAACTCATCTACAGGAAAGTTCTATATCTTTCCTCTAAGTGCATTTCATATTGCTGTAAAATCGAAAAATTCACTTACGAATCTGAGCAGCAGAAGCATTCTAAAGCAGTGATAATACCAATTCTGAACGCCACTGCTGTGGTACGAATAACTGAATTCTTTGCCTTTTCTTCCCCTCACCCCACTGCAAAGCCAAACTACACATTAGGATTCACTTTGTAGGTTTTTTTTTTTGTTTCGTTTTCTTTTTTAGTTTTTTTCATGGCTTACTTTTACCATTCCTGTTGCATATGCTAGTTCTACGGCTGCTAAAATTCTCATGATCCCTGGTTTGTGCAAAAACATTAAAACACTGAAATGCCCTAAGTTCATTTGCAGTTTCAGAAGTGCTTCAGGCCATAGTAGGGACCTGAGGAGAAGACAACAAATTAATGCTTTTCTATATTACAGATAACTTTCACTTTACGAATGATGCATTAGAGAAAGGAGAGTTAGAAAGACATTCCTGACACCCCAGACAGGCTGAGTGAATGGTTAAAGTGGTCTGCTGCCTGCTGTCCCATGTGTCACACAGCAGTTCCTGGTTTCTGCAGGGCTATGAAATGGAATAAAGCCCTCAGCTGCCCCTGTAATAGAAAACCACAAAACATGAGCAAAAAACCCCACGTGTGACCTACCTCAGAAGTTGGGCCCTACTAAGGTGGAACAGTAACTTGATGTAACGTAGACCTGATTAACGGACTGTTTCAGATTGCTTGTTTCATGTTTTGTATTCATGCAGATTAATTTAATTTAATAATATTTTTATTTTCTGACTTTGGTGTTTTCATATTCTACTCCTAGGCTCTTAGGTGCAGGTTATGTGTCACTTTTTTTTTAATTTGTTTGGGTTTTTTACAGGAAGAGCTATAGAGGACCATGAATTAGTGATGGAAGTCCAGTCAAATTGGGTAATGGAAGAGGAAAACAAACTGTATTTTAGAAAAAATTATGCCAAGTATGAGTTTTTTAAAAATCCACTGGTAAGTCCTAACGTTATATCTATGAAGTGGTGCAATTGCTGTTGCTGCAAAATAGTCTTTTCTGTTACACACAGATAGGCACAGTGTAAAGCTGTTAGTGTAACATGAGTCAAAAGGAATAACTGGGAGGGAATATATGGGATATAGGAATATATTGTAGTGTGTGTAACTGTTGGCCGGTCCCTTTGTAGCAATTGTAAAACATCCATGTTAATACTTTTTTTTTTTTGGGTGAGGGGGGCAGACATGGGTTTAATTTTATTGGAAGTTTGCACGTGGACCTACGACAAAACAAAATTTTTGAAATTGAGTGAGGTTTCCATGAAGTGACAACAAAATATAAAATGAAGCAGTGTGAGGAGGGGCATCTGTAGCAAAGATGATTTTATTTTAAAGTCAAAATCGAATGTTATGGCCCAGTGCTGCCCAATGGCAGCTTCTCACAGCTGCAGCTAAATGACAACTGACACAAAAGGCCATGAGCAGACATAACCTATTAGGAGTAAGTGAAAGTGAAGCCAAAGTTAGTGTATGTAAGGAATGTAAAGAGAGCAGAGACAACTCGTAACTCAAGGATGTTGCCAAAGGTTAATGCTGCTGATTCAGACCTTGGCTGATGGCAAAAGCCGTGGAAGCAGTCCTGGCTCAGCAGGAGAAACTCACCATCTGGTTGCTCAAATGCATGGTGTATTTTGGATCACTCCTAACGCTGTCTCTTATAAAGCCAGCTTGTTTCAGATGTCAAAGGGAGAAATAGCAGAAATGTATGAGGACTTGAAAGGTGAAAAGTGGAAGGGAACTCAAATTATCTACCTGTGAAAAGGATGAAAAGGTAAATATTAAGATACCAAAAGATATAAGAGATCTGAGGGGTTTTTATTCTTGCTCCACTTGTGTTTCTCTGGGCAAATCATGTACTCCCCTGACATGGAGATATCATTGCAGTAGTGAAAAATTGTAAGCTTGAGATGGTCTACAGTTAGTAGAGAAGCTTTCAAAGAATAAGTATGTTTGTGTATTGGTTAACCAGTGAGTGGAACCAGCTGTGGAGTGTGGCAGACATGCAGCTATGGCTAGCGTCAGCAGCTGTGGCTAATCAGAGTCCTTACTCTTCCTGTTGAGTCATTCTTTTAGGTACTCTGGTCCCAGGTGTAGGAAGAATGCTTTATCAGAAATAAGTTGATAGGAATTAACCCTACCGGTAGTTCAGTTTTATTAAAAATGAAAATCAGTGGACATTGGATGGTCAAGGGAATATTAGCTTCACATTTGTCCAAGCCTTGAGAAAACGTTATTAGTAATGGTCAAACTCTTGGCTGGTTCATATCTGCATGACTATATTGAGCTCCCCAGCTGCAGCTGACCCATAAATTACCTCTTGAGCTTTCCTTGATAATGAAATTGGCACTTTAAATATGGACTTCTTAAGCACACCATATTGATGTAGTCAGATTTTGATATTAATTCATATTCATATCATACAATATGGACAATTAAAAAAAAAACAACTGAGAGAACTTGTTCTCTATTAATGGAAGCTATTCTGAAATATTTTACTGGGTTTCTAGTGTAATAAAAACAATAGAAAACAATAGATTTTTCAGCATCTTGGTGTATATCCTCCCTACTTTATAGCGTATTGAAGCCCCAGGCAAGCTTATATGTCAACAGCAATAGAAATTACTGCTAGAAAGACAGCGCTAAGGGCCAAGTACTGCAGTATGACTTGCACTGGTGTTTGAAACCCCATTGCTTCCAGAAACCATTGATGTTTTCTCAAAATTCTAAGTTTTCCAGAAAATAATATATAGGATGTCACAAATTTAGGAGTGATATTAAGGTAAGCTTAAATTATTGGATCAAAGAATCCGCAGTGTCTTGCACTGCGCTGAGAACTTTAACTGTATGTCCAAAAGAGATAGCAAGTTTTATATTTATTTTTATGGAACTTTGATACAAGTTATTGTTGTTACAGAGCTTTTTTCCAGATCATATGATATCTTTTCCAAGTGAGACCAATGCAGCTGTAAGCCACTCTGGGATATTACAGGTATGTAATCTTTGAATGAAGACGAGACAGCATAGCTCAGAATTTCCTGCTGTCTGTGTTGTGTGAGCATAGCTCTTTGTCACTCTTGGATCTGTTGCTAGGTTTTGAATAACTCAAAACATGGTTAATACTTTTTCTTCCTTATGAGATATGATGTGTCCCTTCCAGACAGTTATTATATGCCCACACTTGGAAACTTGCATATTCTTTCAGAATCAAGGGGTGCCAAACCAGACAAAATGTAGTAAAAAAGGTTAATACCTTTATTGGTTATTTCAGGTGAAAGACCGTGTTTCCTTAAAAAGGTACAGTACTCAACACATACTTAACAGCAGGCCTTGGTAGAATATTGAGGAACTGGGAATGCGATACAAATGGATATAAAAAAGAGTTAAATGGTTAAACTGCATGAGTAGAAAATTTAGACTGACTAGTATGATTTGTTAGCTTGAAGGCTACTGTAGCCTCAAAAAAAATATATGGTAGGTCACTCAGTGTTAGTCATCTTTTAAGTGGACACAAGATTTTAATTTACAGTGGGAATAATTTCACAGAATGACTGTATCGGGGATCATCGTCTTACTTCTCAAAGAGGGGATAAATGAGTAATAAAGGTGGAAACATAGACATCACTCGTTTGCTTGTCACTAGAAAAATTAATTAATAGAAGAACTTTCACTGGTCTTAAGACAACAACCCTATGTGTGAGTTTTGGGGATAAAGAATGATTGGAAAGGCAAGATAATAACACAAGATATTTAAGATAGAACTAAAAGAAATATAGAAATTACAATTTATTTTTTTTTTTTGCATCTGTATAATAAATTCTACCTTAGCATCTACCAGTAAATGAAAAATGTTAAAGAACTAATTCTCAAAACATTCTTCTGTGTTAAATAGTTATATCCTTATAGAAGTGGATGTTAGTCAGGAGGTTAAGATTATCCCAAATATAGTAAAAAATGTTTCAAATCAAATTTAGTTGACACATGCTAGGTTCTGTAAATAATTTTTACAAACCTGAATAAAAACTTTGTAATCTCAAAAGGTGCTGCATATCTGATGAAAATTGATTCACTTTTGCTACCTAAATAGCAAATAGATTTTGCAGTCTAACATGAACATTTAATTTAGAAAATCTTGTCCCCTGTGTTAATAGAACTTAATATTTTTTGCTTGCAAATTTAATTTGGTCATTTGAAAAAATAATAAAAAGACATTCATAATGGAACTGTTTGCCATATATTCTTGCACAGAACTTCCTTAAGCCCATGTTGTGATATGTAGAACGTGTGCAGAGCTTGTGGGTAAGATTAAGACTCATTCTAAATATATATAGTTACATCCCATTTTGATAGCTTGAAAAATTTGTTACAAACTCTCCTCTGTTGCTATTTTGTGTTTTATTGTCTGTTTAATTGTATTTTGTCGAATAAAACTTATTAGGCACAAAGTAGAGAATACCTTTGTGGATTGTGCAGCTGTTCTGCACATTTCAGCAGAAGCGGTTGGGTAAATTGTTTACAGTGTGTAACTACTTCCTTGGAAACTTTCATTAAGACAAGTTAATGGGCTTGCATTATTATTTGTGATGTGGTTGGTCAAGTATCAAGAGAGATATTAGTTTTAACAACTCAGTGCTTACAGATGATTAAAAAATCACTTCTGATATTTTTATAGCTTTTTGTGGATTGAGCTGTAAGCAAGTAAAATGTTTTTCAAGTATGTTTTTCTTGACTTTCATTGAAAGTGAAAGAGCGATTATTTTGGCTGATGACTTTAAATCAGAGCATCTAAATAGCCTCAAAACAAAAATAAAATTTACCTGTCGCCTATCCATTTAGCATGTGCTAAGTAAAATTACTAGGTCTGACATATACCAAATGTCTATGTATACCCAAGAAAGAGGTTTAATCTCTGCCATGACGATCTTTAGCCTAAAAAAAGTGCCTCACTGTATTGATTGGAGTATGGCTGCTCTGAGACACAACACTCTATTTACAGGTCTAGCAGTAGGCAGTATGGATCATTTGGAACTTGCTTTAGGTTATTTTTGCAAATTGGATGCTTTAAAACATGTCAAAAATGAACGTAGTTTGAAGATTTTAATCTGAGGCCTCTCCCCGTAGTAATGGAATAGTCTATTATTTTCAGATTTTGGGGTGTGTTGTTTGTTTGTTTGTTTGTTGAGAATTAGCAACTTTCATAGGTGGGCAACAAATTAATTCACTTGGTCTAATTAGATGTGAAATTGTTGTGGAAAGTAGTTTTAAATGGGGCTTGTGACTTGTTTAAAACATCGTCTGCTTATTGGAGCAGCTCTTATTTTACATGAATTCACCTACGTACTAGATCCTTTTGTATTCTTATTCATGACAGCATTTCCAATGAAGAGACTGCATGGCATAGATAGTATTGACAGAATTGAGTCCTTCTGAGTTAGTAGGTGAAATCGTAGCTTCACTGAAGTCAATAATTTTTTTTTTTAATTACTTTGAAAGGTAAAAATTTTATCCTAGGTTTCTTTCATTTTCTTTTTGTTTGTGAATAACATTTCTCTGATTTTGTAATTCTGTTTTTTTAACCTTTAATTGTATTTGTAGCAGAATTTTTTTCACTCTGCAGTATGTCGATCAATGTTTTAAATTTAACAGTGACGTCTTCAAAATAGAAGGTTGAAATTACTTGGGTAATTACACTTTTTTTTCCAGTTTTGCTTTAAGAATAGACCTATTCCCCCTGCTCTTCCTTATTGTTTAATAGATGCAGTTGATATTCAGGTTCTGTAGGTAGACTTGAAGTTCAGAGTTCAAGTCTTGTATTGACCAATTTGGCTGTTTCCTTCTAATAGCTTTTTATGTGTAATGTGAATATATTAAAAAAAGCTATTGTAGATAGCACATGTCCAAGCCATCTTCCAGAGCAATGAAAAAAACTTGCACCTGATGTAGAATGTACTAAAGAAGGGAGCAGATGTCTTTCCTAAATAAACAAAAAAGATAAATGTTATATATGCAAAAAATTAAGTTAAAGACAGAACAGGATTACCAAGACAAACACTCATAATATTGTGAAAGGTAGAATTACTGATAGCGTCTTTTCCTTCTGCCCTTTCCCCATTGCCATCTCTTGGCCCATGTTCTTACTTGTTCCCATTCTCTGCCTTCACAGATTTAAGATTCAAGCTTTCATTTCTTTAAGTTCTCTGCCACAGCAAGTCCCTC